ACTACTACTACTACTACTACTACTACTACTACTACTACTACTACTACCTACTACTACCTACTACTACCTACTACTACCTACTACCTACTACTACTACTACTACGACTACCACTACCACCACCACCACCACCACCGCCACCACCACGACCACTACGACTACCACTACTACTACTACTACTACTACTACTACTACCACGACGACGACTACTACTACTACTACTACGACTACGACTACTACTACTACTACTACTACTACTACTACTACTATACTACTATACTACTATACTACTATACTACTATGCTACTACTACTTACTACTTACTACCTACTACCTACTACCTACTACTACTACTACTACTGCTACTGCTCCTGCTCCTGCTGCTGCTGCTACTGCTACTCCTACTACTACTACTACTACTACTACTGCTCCTGCTCCTGCTGCTGCTGCTACTGCTACTACTACTACTACTACTACTACTACTACTACTACTACTAACTACTACTCCTGCTACTATTCTATTACTACTACTACTGCTGCTGCTGCTGCTGCTGCTGCTACTGCTACGGATCCACTGCGAAGAACGGCTGTAAAGGAGTCGGAAAGTCAAAACAAGCTAAACTTCGATCACATTCGAACGCCAACAGCAACAACAACACACTACACAAACCTAAAACTGCGTCAGAATCCATGAAGCCAAAACTTGCAGGGCATTGAAACATGAAACGAACCCCCCCCTTTCCCTTGCCCCCCGTCCCCCCCTTGGTGGTGCTTAATCATTTCACAAAAACGCAACCAACAAATATAACAAAGTAACCCCTACCATGAAATATTGGACGCAAACAAAAGCAACAAAACATTGTAAATACCAATGAAAAATGACGAAAAGCAACAAAACACTGTAAATACCAATGAACAATGATTAAAACGCTCTCCCCAGGCACCCTGCGGGTAAATCAACAAAACACTGTAAATACCAATAAAACATGATGGTAAACGCTAGAAAAATACCGGGGGACCTGGGGAACCGCTAGCTACTACTACTACTACTGCTACTGCTCCTGCTCTTGCTCACTAGTAGTAGTAGTAGTACTACTACTACTACTACTGCTACTATACTACTATACTACTACTTCCTACTTACTACTTACTAGTTACTACTTACTACTACTACTACGACGACTACTACTACTACCACCACTACTACTACTACGACGACTACTACTACTATACTACTATACTACTATGCTACTACTACGTACTACTTACTACCTACTACTACTACTACTACTACTACTACTACTACTACTACTACTACT